TTTATCTTTATCACAATCAAATTAGTTTTGAAAGTTTATTCAACTTTCAAGGGGGGCGGCTTGTTAAGAGTCTTTGTTATGAGTATTACTTTGAAATATTTTGGAAAGGAATTTGTTTCGGTTGTAAAATTTATTTATTTATTTGGGTACCTACAACATTTTGTAAACCATTGTTTGGTCACGTAGTTGTCCGACCAAGGGAAGTTGAACAACCCCAATTATGTTGTTACCCGCTGTTATGCCATCCGCACCCCTCCGGTGTCATTTAATTTTGTACCATAGCAGTAAGATAATTTTAAGTAATTTGTATCAGTCAGTCTTTAGTCGTCTTAGTTATCAGTTCTCGAATAATTAGAAATCATAGTTTAGGAATCATAGTCATCATCTTTGTAGTAACCATCATCAACATTTCGTCATTATCACCCTAATTCTAAGCTGTATATATATTTTATATTAAAATATTAATTTAAATTCTACGAAGTGTTTTTCTTACAAAAAAAACATCTCGAAAGTAGAATAGAAGTGGCACAACTGTGCAAGGCAAAATCTTACATAACACAATTGGTCCTTCGAGCCGGATAGTTAATTGCAGCGTCAAAAAACGTTATTCTAGAACAATCATAGGCTGTTGTGGGTGATAATCCAAATTAGTTATTCGAGAATAATCATAGACTGTCGTAGTGGGTGATAATTCAAGATTAGGGAAATTGTGCAACATTCGCCACAAGAACGAGTTCAACAAAATATCACCGCAGATATCGTCGCATCAGATTGGTTAGTCACTTGGATTTGGATTTTGAGCATATACAAAAATCAAGTAAGTGCGTTATCCCTTGTTTCCTTCCTCATTTATTTCCCTGGATATTCGATTACGTGTCAGTAATATGGAAACTTTAAAAGTTTTAACATCTCAAAGAGCTCAAATTAAGTCTCGCCTCACAAGATTTAAAAATAGTCTTGATAATTTAACAAACAAAGAAATAGCAACTGAAGATGAACAGGTAGAAATTCAAGACCGTCTTGCTGACATAACATTATCTTTAAAAGAATATGAACAAGTTCATTTCAAAATTGTTAGTATGTCGGACGATGTTGCACATGATCGCGATATGGAAAAATTTGAACGCACATTTTATGAAGTCACCGCGCGGGCAAAATGTCTCATATCAAAATTTAACACACCTTTAAAAAATAATGACAGTTTGTATGACGACTTTGGTGCAAATATGTTAAAATTACCAAGTATTAGCTTGCCAACATTCAGTGGTCGTTTTGAGAATTGGGTCGAATTTCACGACTCCTTTGACTCATTAATTAACAAAAATCCCAAGTTGTCGGATATCCATAAATTTTATTATTTGCTTTCTGCCGTGAAAGGTGATGCTGCGCAATCACTCAAAACTATAAAAATCTCCTCCGAAAATTACAATATTGCATGGGATTTGCTCAAGCGTCGATTTGAAAATAAAAAATTAATAGTACAAAACAGCATCAAAGCGTTATTTAATATAGAGTCTATGAAACGGGACACACATCAAGGCCTTCAAACAATGTTAGATGACATATTAAAACTAATGCAATGTCTTCAAAATTATAAGCAACCCACTTTAGATAGCTTGCTCATATATATTATTAGCGCGAAATTCAGTCTCACTACACGTCAAGAATGGGAAAATTTTAAACCAATGGATGAATTTCTAACCTTCTCTGAGTTAACAGATTTTTTAGAAACAAGGTGCAGTTTATTAGGGTCGTTAGAAGTAAACAAAAATAATCAGAGTCTATTTAGTAGTTGTGTTAGTATGTTAATGATTGTATTCGAAGGACCATATTTAATTGTTTCTTTTTGGGATAGAATGACTCCAACAGTAACACAATACATTTAATAATTTTATTATAAGTCGAGAAACATATTTTTGGTACAGTAAGCCATGCGTGATGGCGACAAGACAAGACAGGTGAGATCGATAATGGGCGGTCACCCTGTTACCCC